CAACTAGAACTACTCATTTTAGGTAAGTTTAGATCAAGATGTTGTAATGTAAGTTGATTAAACTTACAATTATTAAAGTTGTGGAGGAAAAATGATTTTTCAATTTATTATTAATGGAATATGATATATGATTAATTAAATAATTTATAAAAAGAAAGAATGTCAACGTTTCTAGTGTTATATTTGTAATTGTCCCCATCATTAATGGCACCCTCGCCCGAGTGAGGCATTGCTTAGGCGATATCACACCAGGATAAGAGGTTCTATGTTAGCACTGATGACGTGTAAATGCCATTAGTCAAAAGAGAGGAAGTCTCCCGCTAACTCTAGAAAATTAAGCGGTCAATAACTTCTCCGGAGTATGGGTGAGCGGTTACCAGCTCTAAAAGTTACTTAAATCATAGGCCCAGGAGACCTTTATAAAGACCTCTTCTCTGTAAGATAAGGGACATATCTCAACTACTTCAAATCACACCATCATATGTTAAGACCACCATAATCACTACCTTACATGGCTTATCACCTCAATGGGCAAGCCCTTACCAGTGTCATTTGTTATACATCCACAAAATCTTATAGACTCCTCTATTTTTGTAGGAGGAACACCTACATCTGTACTTTTTAACTAATATACCGTTAAATAATTTTTTCCCGACAAAAATAAAATAAAATATAGTAAAATTTTGAGTTTTTATAAATTGGCTCATTTATCACCACGAGGACTTTAGTGGCCATTTGACAATGTTGCAAAGGCATAAAAAGTTTATGAAATCGTGCGTCTTATTATCAAGAGTATACACCTTTTCTAGAAAATAATGTTCAATCATGGTGTTTCTAACTAACATTTTATGATTAGTAAGAAATAATAATAACTAAACGTTCTTTCTTCCAGAACTTTGAATTTTAAATAGGTAACAAAGAGTGTGTTCGATTCAAGATACGAAATATCATTCCTCAAAAGTTAGAACTCTATTATCAGAATTATTATTCTTAGAAATAATATTTCTATTTAAGTGTCGGACAAAAATTAAATTTTTCAAAACTATTTACAATATTTATCTAACTTACAATATTTATTTAAGTTAAAATGGTGTCATATATGTAAGTTAAATTAATAATTAAAAAACACTATTTTGACTTTTGTCGTTTAGTATTTGATTAATTGTAATGTTGAATAGTACTGTACTATTTTAGTAGATTCAATCATGAAAATATCGATATATTGATTGCACCTTCTCAATTATGAGTACTATCACAGTCTCACCTATGCCACATTTGATGGTGATTAATTTAGCCATACTGATATTACCGACACCGCTGTCATAACTCATTTAATTCAGCTTGCTACATTGATATCAGATCTATTTTGAGTGGTCACGAAAGAATCACTCGAAAAATAGTGGATCACAAGGTTATTGTTATAATTAACTTCACCTGAAAAGTTAGACGATGCTACTAAAAGTGGTAGTTGAAATATCAACTACTGAATTTATGGCATTTGTACTAAATCACATGTGTAATGTGCTGTTGCTTGTTTGATGATTATATATATATATATATACATTGTTTTTCGGATTTGAAAATTAGAGTTTGGCACAAGGAAATTATCGGGACGAGTCGCGTACTAGGTCGCTTTCTTTAAGACGTTTCGCCGTACTGTCAAATTATGCAAAGCAGTCGAATTTACGACGACGCCTCCAGGATAAAACAACCCGTTCAAACAACTTACGATTATCAGTTGCACACTGATAAATCGCTCTAGAAATACACCTGTCTAAGTATCTGGTGAAAATAACCAGTCAAGAAAAGAGAGTTTTTGAGATGAAGAGAAATGAGAAAGAGAAGAGGGAAATCAAAATTCGTGTGAATTTGTGAAATCCGATGTGTTCACTTCTGAATTTCTACCCTGTATTTATAGGCAGCAAACTGCACCTGAGTGGAGAGAAATTTGTGGTGAGTGGAGAAAATGGTGGGAGACTGAGAAATTCGTGGGGAGTGGAGAAAATGGTGGGAGACTGAGAAATTCGTGGAGGACTGGATCTGGCAGTTACTGACCAATTATTTTCTTAATTAATTAATATTTATTATATTAATTAATTAATGATAATTAAATTATATAAATTCGGGTCCAAAAAATAATTCATCTAGACCGGACCGGACCGGACCGAGCCGGCCGGACGGCGGCGCGCGCGCGTGTGTGTCTTGTTGGTCATGGGTGTGTCCTCACTCCTTTCACAAAATTGGGTGCCCTTTAGGGCCCAACCCAATAGACAAAGTTGGAATATATAAACACTACTAATATTTCCATTCCCTTCAATGTGAGACTAAAATGAATCTTTTCAAATTCACTTCTATATTAGTTTTCACTTGTGTTCATTTATTGCTCATTAATTGTCAACAAATGTTTCCAATTCCCACTCCAACTAATTTATGTTCCAACATTAATTAGTTAAAGTTCCAACATTCCCCCACTTGAATTTAAAAGAGATTTTAGAAGTACGTCAGACGTTTCTCAGGTTGAGCATAAGCAAAGGTGTCTACGACTTGAACCTTAGCGTAGCGAGTAGGATTCTGATTCAACCAGAGTGACACCATTGTCTTGAACTCTATCTCGGACATCAGACCCGCACACAACCTTTCTGTAAGGTGTATTCTTGTAGCCCGTGCTTTAGTGGCCCTGCACGTGTATCCCGGTTTAGTGAATGCTCTAGGAATTCTGCCTCGAAATTCCATAGGAACCGGCCTAGTTCCACAGTCACATAGGTGAATCTATCAAGAGTACTCCTGTAGCCTAGGTACTCCCTCATACAGAGTATAGATCTCATTAAGAGTTTCTATTATCTCATCCTCTCATTACTTCAGAATTCATGCTTTACTTGCATGATCATTTTCATATTACTCATAACTTGTTATTACCCATTGAACCTAAGTCTTGGGATCTCCAGTCATTTAGGTCCGGTTACCATCATGAGTAACAAATTACTTTATAGGCATTAGTCCCATCTTTTTGGAAGTATTATGGAATTTCTCTCTAGCTAATCCTTTCGTCAAAGGATCTGCTAAGTTCTCATCAGTGCGTACATGATCCACTCTCACAGCTCCTTTAGAGATACAGTCTCTAACAGTGCTATGTTTTTTTCTAATTTGACGTCTTTTACCATTATAATAACGGTTCTCAACTTTTGCAATAGCCGCGGTACTATCGCAGTGGATCAACACAGCTGGTATAGGTTTTTCCCATAAAGGAATCTCAGCTAGCAAGCATCTTAACCAGCTTGCTTCTTCACTAGCTGTAGCTAATGTTATCATCTCAGACTCCATTGTGGACTGTGCCAGAATGGTCTGTTTCTTTGATTTCCAAGATACAGCTCCTCCGGCTATACTAAATATATAACCACTAGTAGCTTTGGAATCATCTGATAAGGTGTTCCAATCTACATCACTATACCCTTCTAGTACAGCAGGAAATTTCTGATAGTGTAGGCCGAGGTCCATAGTCCTTTTAAGGTACCTCATTACTCGCTCAATAGCTTGCCAATGTTCATTACTCGGCCTACTTGTAAATCTGCACAACAGTCCTACGACATATGCAATGTCGGGTCTAGTACAATCAGTGGCATACCTAAGACTGCCAATGATGCTCGCATATTCTGCTTGTTTGACACTCTCTCCAGTGTTCCTAAATAGTTTCACACTTGGATCATACGGAGTGCATGCAGGTTTACAATCAAAGTATTTATATTTCTTTAAGATCTTCTCCACATAGTGAGATTGATCTAAAGAAATTCCTTATTCGGATCTCGTGATCTTGATACCCAGGATCACGCTTGCTTCTCCGAGGTCTTTCATATCAAAGTTATTGCATAACAATAATTTCATATCATTAATGGCCTGAATGTTTGATCCAAATATAAGTAGATCGTCTACATATAGACATATGATAGTACAAATGCGATTCTCAGATTTGTAATAGACGCACTTGTCACTTTCATTCACTTTGTACCCATTAATTATCATTAGGTTATCAAACTTTCCATGCCATTGTTTAGGGGCTTGTTTTAGTCCATACAGAGACTTATCTAACTTACAGACCTTACTTTCTTGTGCTTGGATTACAAATCCTTCTGGTTGTTCCATATAGATTTCTTCTTCTAAGTCACCGTTTAAAAAAGCTGTTTTAACATCCATTTGGTGTACTATTAAGTTATAAATGGCTGCTATTGAAATGAGTACCCTAATGGATGTAATTCTAGTGACCGGAGAAAAGGTGTCGAAGAAATCTATATTTTCTCTTTGTCTAAAACCCTTGGCTACAAGGCGAGCCTTGTATTTCTCAATCGTTCCATCAGGTTTTAGTTTCCTTTTCAAAACCCATTTACAACCAATTGGTTTGCAACCCGGAGGTAAGTTTACTAAATGCCAGGTCTGGTTAGATTCTAGAGAATCTATCTCATCATTAATGGCTTCTTGCCATAAGTCTGCATCCATAGATGACAATGCTTCTTGAAGATTTATTGGATCTTCTTCTACATTATAGGCCGCATAATCGGACCCATAGTCTTTAGCAACTCTTACTCTTTTACTTCTTCGAAGCTCTGTTTCTACATTGTCGTTGCTTTCAGTGCCTTTTATCACAGGAATGTGACTCAATTGTGTGCCCCCACTATTTCTCGATTTGAAAGGAAATTTGTCTTCAAAGAATTCAACTACTGAATTTATGGCATTTGTACTGAATTTATACTGAATTTCTACCATGTATTTATAGGCAGCAAACTGCACCTAGTTCAAAGAATTCAACTACTGAATTTATGGCATCTGTCTTCAAAGAAATCAAAAGTGGTAGTTGAAATATCAACTACTTTGTACTAAATCACATGTGTAGTGTGCTGTTGCTTGTTTGATGATTATATATATAGTACGCTTGCTTTGATCATTGTCTCACATTCGCATAGCATATCAATATTCTACAATACAATACAGTTTCACTTTCTTGTTGAATCATGGCTCTTCGTGGGAAGCTAGAGGTTGACATTGAACTGAAGTCTAATGCAGACAAGTACTGGCAAACCATAAGGGATTCTACAACTATATTCCCTAAGGCCTTTCCACATGACTACAAAAGCATTGATGTTCTTGAAGGCGATGGTAAAGCTCCTGGTTCTGTCCGCCATTTCCATTACGCTGAAGGTAAAACTTACGACCATCATTGTATTTATTCATGCTTTCATAATGATTGTTATCTTAAAGTTTATGTTGTAATCTATGGTGGTTTATATTGTAGGCTCGCAGCTAGCAAAATCGTCGAAAGAAAAGATTGAGGCTGCTGATGATGAAAAGAAGACGGTAACATATTCTATCATTGAAGGAGATCTTCTCCAGTACTACACAAAATTCTTGGGACACATAACTGTTATACCAATTGGAGAAGGATGTGAGGTGAAATGGACTGCTGAATATGTCAAAACTAAGACTGATATTCCAGATCCAACTATCGTCAAAGATTTTGCTGTCAAGAATTTCCTTGAGGTGGATGACTATGTTCAAACACTTGCATAGAAGTTCAATGCATTTCATAAATTGAAGGACAAGCTAGTTTATTTTATTAAAATAATATGGTGGAATGATGGAACCATTTTCTGTTAAATTAAATATGTTGTATGTGTGTAGTAATGAGTCTATCCTTATTTGTATTCTGATCTTATCTTAATGTCTATTTATAATTGAGCAAGGTATGAGAATGGAAGTATATGTGATCATTATTTCATTGGCTTTCTCTGTGTAATTTTTTTAGACATACATGTTTGATCATATTTCATAGGGAGTAGTAACTAAGCACACAAACCCTGAGTACGTACCTCAACCATGGTGAAGTCTTTAATGAATTATTGAATTCAATACTGTATCGGACTTTGATAGTTCAGCAGCTGCAGCATTATACTGGAAATAGGATTCACAGGTGTCAAAAGTTTCTCGCAATTAATTGGAAGGACTCGAGTGTCTCTCATGCATATTACTTCCTTCTATTCATAAGGAGTAATTCAGTTGGTCATTTCATACCGATTAAAAAAAAGAATAAATAAATGAAGTAATTCAGTTGGTCATTTTATACCTATTAAAAACAAGAATAAATAAAAAAAAATGATGATTTTACTAAAGTATCCCTTATCAAGTATTGAGAATGATGAAAGTAATATTAATTAAATGGTATAATTAAAAAAATAAATTGAAAATTGAAATGTGTAATTTATTTTTAGACATTTTTTTTATTCCAAATGGATCACACATTGTGAGACGGAGGGAGGATTTTAAAATGAAAAAAAAAACGTTGTTAAACGTTTATTCACTTTCTCATTGAGCGTTAAATGATTACAAGTGAAAATAACAATCAACCTCTCCTAACAAGTAAGAGAACAACCTATTTATAGACTATTAGCATATGTATGTTAAGTTTGATGAAAACATTCATACATGACATACATAATACATAAACTATATTTGACTACTGCATGCTTGAACAAACTTCGATTGCATCACGCACATTCGACCTTGTTGAATCCTGAAGCTATCTCTGTCGAGACTGGAGTTCGATCAAATGCTACAAATCTTAATCTTGGAACAAACTCAAAACATCAAGGGAACAGACTAGTTATCATCATACAGTTTTATCAACTGCATACAATAGAAGAATCTACTGCTTGGTAATGAATTAGTGATCATATCAACAACATTGTAATAAGTCGAAACCTTGTCACTTTGACTTCTCCCCTTTCGATTTTCTCCCTGACAAAATGCAGCCTAACATCAATGTTCTTGGTTATCTCATGATAGACTGAATTCTTTGACATATGTATGGCACTTTAATTATCACATTGAACTATGATTGCTTGAGCTTGAAGTTTGAGTTCTTTAGCAAACCCTTCAAGTTACAATGATTCTTTTACAGCTTCACTAAGGGCAATATATCCAGCTTCAATAGTCGATAAGGCTACATCCATCTAAAATGTCGCTTTCCAACTAATTATTGTACAAAACATAATGAAAATATATCCAGAAATAGACTTTTTAGAATTCATACATCCTTCATAGTCAAAATCAACAATTCATTTGACTTCAACTGTTTTATCATCTCCTTTGGCTCCACCATAAACCGAGACTCTGCATAGAGATCCTTTTATGTATCTTAGAATCCATTTCAAGGCTTGCCAGTGCGCCTTCCTAGGTTTGGCCATGTACTTACTTATAAGGCTAACTGCATACTCTATGATTGGTCTACTTCTAACCATAACATACATCAAAGAACCCACTATACTAGCATATGAAATGCTATCTATGTAGGCCATATCGACTTCAGTGCTAGGAATTTAAGATATAGACAACTTAAATTGTTGAGTTATTGGCGTTATAACATTTTTGAGTTTGATATACCAAACGGGTCTAGAGTTTTCCTTAGATATGTGATCAGTCATCATTTATGCTATAGTTCTCATTATTTTGTCAGTAATTTGTGCATTAGTCCAAGTGATATGTATGAATTGACTCGTATTTTGTCAGTAATTTGATTTATTTTTATTAGGTTTAGTGTGTCATGAATTATGAGTTTCTCGAGGATATTTTATGCTTTTGGTATGTCAGCAGATCAAATACAGGTTTGGAAGCTTAGATGATCGTGTAAATACAGAGTATGCCTAAGAGGGAGGGGGTGAATTAGGCTTTTAGGGACTTTTCCGGTTTTTCGGTATTCTTAAAATTTTACAGGTTAGGTTCTTGGTGATGAATGCAGTAGAAAGTAAAAGGAAAGTGGACACCAAGATTTATAGTGGTTCCCCTCACAGTCCGAGAGTACTTCACTCCCCTTTCAACACGAAAGAGAGTTTTCACTATTGTTTAATAAAGTACAACCTATCACACCATCAACCGGTGATGCCTACTATCAAACAATAAAAATCAACTAGTGTACAAGAACAATCCTCTTGTAAACACTCACCCTTGTGTCCAACAATCCTGGATCACAAGTCAAAATACAAGTAATCTGAATACTTTGATTTGCGAGTAATAATGGTAATATCAATGATGAGATTGATCTTCTCCTTCTGATCAAAATTCACTCTTTTAATTTCAACACAAGTGTTCAATACTATGCATATGAAAACATATGATCAATATGAACACTTTTGAAAAGATTTGAAAAGTATTTGAAAGTGGTGAATTTTATTCAAAGAATGTTTTGAAAATCGTTATTGGAGGTTGTTTTCCAATTTGAAAAACTCAGAATTTATATGTGTAAACACACCTTTTCCAACAGGTATATTTGAGTATAATTGAAAATATGAACTGGTATAATATTCAAACCATTTTTGAATTTGAAACAAAGCCATTTTTCAAAACACGTTCAGTGTTAATCGGTTAACCTATATGGTTAATCGGTTAACACTGGAACGTTATACCAGAATATTTAAAATTTTAAATGGTTAACCGGTTAACCTATATGGTTAATCGGTTAACACTGCTATTTTTCAGAAAAATACTTATAAAAACAATGTTATACCAATTCTAATAGTTTAAAAAATATGCTTATGCAATGTGATCAAATGATAAAGATGTTGAACATTTCTATATCAATTAAATTAATGGATTTTGATATACCATAGCTTGTGTCTAAAACTTAAAAGTTGATCAGTCAAATCTTCATGAAGCTTTGAATGTTGATCACTTCCATTCCACTTGATCTTGGTCTTTTGAAAGCGTTTGCCTTTTTGCACAGATGAAATATTCTTGATCTTGATGTTGACGTCATCAAAACTTTGAGATGAAGCTTGCTTCTACAATCTCCCCCTTTTTGATGATGACAACCAAAATGGTCTTGTGCAATTTTTGACGATGATTGGCAATGATCTTGTTTTCTCCCCCTATGTCCATGAACTCCCCCTATCAAATACATAGGCAAAAATTCTGCACACATAGACATAAGAAAAGCCAAAGCTCTTCTCCCCCTTTGTCATAAGAAAAAAGGAAGGAGCTTTCAAAAAAGAAAACTAGACAGACCAATAATGCAAGCAATCACAAGAGTATGGAAGCAAAGCATAATGAAATTAAACGGCAACAATGCTGCAAATATTGTACGAGTTACAATGCAAAAATAAAAACAGAGTTCAAACATAAATGGAAGCATAAAACATCAAAAACTATAAAGCAATGCAATAAAAGACATCAACAACAACATATTCTCTAAAGATCCTCATCAGGCATATCCACATCATCTTCTTCACTACCATCCTCTTCTTCAATCTCTTCGTCCACAACTCGGGTGTTGGAATGTGGAGGGTTAAGAATAAGGTTTTTGAGGGAGGCAATGGCTCGGGAGGTCTCTCTATGCATATTCATTGACTCTCTATGCTGGTTCATCATGGTTGTATAGAGAAACTCACTTGTAAGACCCCCTTCAGGAATTGGATACGCTTGATGGAAAGGACCGTCATCGACATACCTGTAGGTACCGTCAGCCACTTTGATGATACCAGTATTTTTGACAATGTTAATCTCATTGATCTTATTAGTTGTAGGTTTCATCTTGGAGGGCGGTTCCCTGTTGAGGTCTAGTTCGGTTAATTCCAGAATTCTCGAAATCAACCGAGCATACGGTAACTATGTGATGCACTGAAGTTGCTGCTGCAGATGATACATGATGGTCAAAATCCAATTGACCCTTATGTGGTTCTTGATTGCATACAAAAGTTGCATCTCTAAGTCATTAATCTGAGAGTGGTTGGAATCCTTTGGAATGAGGACATAGCAGATAATGTAATGAAGCATTCGATCAGAAACCGTCAGATTCTTGGCATAGCACAGCATACGAGCGGTGCGAGAGTTTGCAATAACTGTTTCTTTCGGGAACCTGCAAATATGATAGTAATACTCCATTTTATCATAATTTGCCCAAGGTCCATCCACATGGTTTACACCTTTCCTCAAGAAGCAGCCTTTTGATGGAATCTTAAGGTGTCTAGCAATGGTAGATAATTTTTCAACAAACTCATGGTCTCTAATGGTGGAACTGATCATGTGGTTCTCAATAATGTCCAGATATACAACCAACTTACTCATAAAAGCTTTAACAAGATCAGGATAAATAATACCAGAGTCGGTGACGAACTTGTCGATGCGCTGATATTCCAATAGTGTAGGAAAGTCAAAAGAAATTACAGGAAAAGCTCGAAGATTTACGTACTTTACAGGCAGAAGTTGACGAACACGAACTTTGAAATTCATGCGCCTCTTTTTGGTGGTTTCCATTGGAATGTTGTCGTCATCAGATTCTGATGCATACTCAGGAAGCTTTCCCTTTCCTTTGCGTGAGGATGCCATGGATGAGAGTTTGAGAGAACTGAAGTTATGGGTTCTGAGGAAGTTAGGGTTTGAGAAGTTGTGGGGATGGTTATGAGGAGTTATCCATCTTTAGAGAGTGGGAGAGAGATAATGGGTTTTTAAAACTTAGGGTTTGAAGAGGGAAGTTCAAAAAACTCTTTAAGAGGGAATAGGATTTTGGATATGGATTTTGG